AACCTAAACATCTGTACTCCCATAATATGCTGAAATAAAAAAAAAAATTAAAAACAGAATTACCATGGGATCTTAACAATCCCAGTTCAGGGTATACACCCAAAAGATTTGAAAGCAGGGACTTGAAGAGATATTTGTACATCCCTGCTAATAGCAACGTTATTTACAATAGCCAAAAGGTAAAAGCAACCCCAGTGGCTATCCGCAAATGAATGGGTTAACGAAAGGAAATTCTGACACGGGCTGTAACATAGGTGAACCTCGCGGACATCGTGCTCAATGAAATAAACCAGTCACAATAGGACAAACAATTCCACTTACAGGAGGTCCCTGGAGTCGTCAGATCCACAGAGACAGGAAGCAGGATGGTGGGTGCCAGGGGCTGGGTAGGGGGGTGGAGGGTGAGTGTTTCCTGGGGACAGAGCTTCAGTGTGGGAGGATGAGAAAGTTCTGGAGGTGGAGGGTGGTGGCGTTTGCACAATACCGTGAATGTGCTCAATGCCGCTGAACTGTGCACTTAAAAATAGTTAAGACAGTAAATGTTATGCTGTGTGTATTCTACTGCAGTTAAAAAAAAAATTGGTTTCTCAGTTACACTAACCACATTCGCTAGCCACAGAGGAGAAGTGGCTACTGTGTCGGACACCCCCAGTTAGGGAACACGAGTGTCATCACAGAAAGTTCACTCAGACAGTGCTGTTCATATGCGGATGTGGCTTCTTGGGGCCACTTCTGTTCCCTGGGTGTGGCCGGCAGGATCCGCTGGGTGCTGGGAAAGTTTGCTGGGACCGTCACAGAGCCTGAGGATGTGGGGTGACGAATGGACACTCCCCGGCTTCCAAACCGTGTTTCGAACCATTCGGGGAGTGAGGGAAGGGAAGCTATACGTATAGCCAAGGGCTGTCTAGCCTTGGAGAACTGTCCATGGATATTTGGGGACAGCCCAAGAAGGGAGGGCACAATCCAGATGCCCAGGGACCAAAATCAAGATGTATTAACAATGAAGAAGAGATGGGTACCAAGAGCTCAGGGAGCAAAGTCCAGCCTGCAGTGGACACGTTCAGTCACATTGAATGAGAAAGTCCCTCTAGCCACAAGCTCTGCCCACAGGCGGTACCCTCACCTGCAGAGCCTTCTCCTTCCTTCCCCTTCCTGATCTACTTTTCATCCTTCACGTTGCAGCAGAAACGTCACCTCCCCTTACGCCTCAGCAAAGTGCTTGTGCAATTACATGTTTCCGTGTTTAAATAACGAGCATGCCTCCTGCGTTAGACCCTGTGCTCCCAAAGGCAGGCTCTGTGGCCACCTTTTCTTCCCACAGTGGCTGCAAAATCTAGACTAGTGCAAGCCAGCACCTGTTGAGGCAATTGATGGCTTTGGGGCAAGTTACAGAACCTCCCTGCGCCTTGGTTTCTCCATTTATAAAATGAAAAAAAAAGATGGAGATAACAACATATCTCCTTCACTGTTGGGGCGCAGCAGCGAGCCGAGCCGGAGCAGGCTGGTTGGAGCGGACTGTGAAATTTTCAGGAAATTTGCAAGCTATTTGTTAAATACAAAAATACTCTTAAAAATTAAATAATATAAACCTGCAATGAAACGAATGATGTTACAAAGGTAATAAATGCACAGAACTCACCACTTGCTACATTTTTTTCTATTATTTGTGTTCTTGAGGCTATATACTACTTTTCCATCTGTTGTAGATACAATTGTATCTACTGTTGGAAATACTATTTAGTGGTGTGCTACTGTGTATCTCTTGCCAGCTCTGTGTTTAGTGACTTCATGTTGGGAGACTGAAATTGACCAGGGCAGGAGCATTTACACCATGGAAATTGGCAAATGCTGTATAAGTCAGGACCTCTCTATCCCCCTCCTTCAGGCAGTTGTTAAACATTTAAGAGCACACCACTGGTTTAGGGGCTTAAATGAGTTAATAGATGTGCCTGGCGTGTGCAAAGCGATGTACAGTGCACCTATTATCGTTATTATTTTCTTCTCCTTCATCCGGAATTGTTGCGTGTGCAGACAGGAATTGGGCAAAGCCGTCAACCAGCTATGTTTTCTTTCTCTCTCCAGTTTGCCCAACCATCTGTAAGTCACACGGCTGCACCGCCGAAGGCCTTTGCTGTCACAGCGAGTGCCTGGGCAACTGTTCCGAGCCCGACGACCCCACCAAGTGTGTGGCCTGCCGCAACTTCTACCTGGATGGCAGGTGCGTGGAGACCTGCCCGCCCCCGTACTACCACTTCCAGGACTGGCGCTGTGTGAACTTCAGCTTCTGCCAGGACCTGCACAACAAATGCAAGAACTCGCGGAGGCAGGGCTGCCACCAGTATGTCATTCACAACAACAAGTGCATTCCGGAGTGTCCCTCTGGCTACACGATGAATTCCAGCAAGTGAGTCCTGGGTGTGGGTCTTGCAGGGGGGAGGCAGCAAAGAGGAGAAAGAATGTGGGGTGGGGGGTGACAGTGCTGCCCATTAAAACTATGTGCAAAAACAGAGTTAACTGGCTATGAGTGAGGTTGCTGGTCTCAGATGCTATTTTTGCCCCTTGTTTTGGTCCTGGGCTTTGGAGCAGGGGTCAATAACCTCTTTCTCTAAAGGGCTAGATAGTAAATATTTCTGGCATCTTGTACACCAGTTCTAAGCTTTCCCAGCTTCAGAACAAAAAAAAAACATAAAAGAAGTCATTGGTTTCCCCTAAAATCCTCCACGTGGCTTGTCCTCACTGATGTAGCCGCATTATCCTTATAACAAGAATGTAGCTGAGGTTTTTCACGTCTTCCCCAATCTATAGCTGGGTGGTGTGCCCAGATTAGCCCCGAACGTAGTGTCTCAAGGAGGAAGAGACGCATCGCTACATAATTTCCAGGGCTTTGGTGTTCTTTGAAGGGTAGTGCAGTCTAACCGTTTCCCACCATCTGGGTGAGAAATAGCAGAGTTTTCTCTCTTTGGCCATGAGTCAGATTTCCTACGCACATCGCAGACTTTTTGTTCATGTTGTTGGCTTCTTAGATGAGCTATTTTGGTGTCTCGGGGCCATAACTGAGTTTAAAAAATCTGTTTCCTGGTTTTTGTGTTGAGGTTAAAAAAAAAAAGAAAACACACCACAAAACAACACAAAAACAAATCAGAAACAGACACACGTCGAGAGGCCTTGAGCTGACCTGCTTACGTAAAAAATCTTCCTCTTCAGACTTGAGAATTAGCCAAGCGAGCATGTTCTGGTGGGAAATTATATTTCCCTGGGTGGAGGGGGTGGGAAGGAAAAACAATCTTTAATTTCAGTTCTTAGGAGGTTCTCTTCTCATGTTTGTGCAACCTGTAAGTACAATATGTTTCATTTTACTCATTTTTGATAAAAACCTATCAAGTGGCTTTGTTGACCCAAAATAATCCTCTATAAAATCACCTTTGCACGCCAGACAGAACTTTTTTTTTTTGAAAGGGGGAGTGGCACCAATTTTTTAGTAAGGTTAGGAAAATGACCATATTCCTTTTGATTCATTTCTTTTTTTCCCCCCCCCAACATTTGAAATAAAGAGTGAGTATTATTGTCTCCCAGTGAGATGTTTGTTTAAAAGATATTGGCCTTAAATGAAAGGCATTTTTCCCTTATCATGACAAAGACCTGAGAAATGTCACAACCTCCTTTGATATTCTTGCTTATGGTATAGTAGACCCTGGAACAACAAAAAAACAAAGCAAAACAAAAAACCCTAAGGAATTGATAGCACATCCTGTGATGCCTGGAACCTTCATTGAAAGGAAGAAAAAACAAAGTGAGAGATGCTAGTGCTGATGTATCATGGCAGTGTTTTACTTTTTAGATTTTTTTAAAAATGTAATATTTTTACTTCTGAAGCTTTCCTTTTATTTTATGAAAGACTGTATAGTACTGTTGCATTTTGCTAATGTGGTTTGACATCAAATAAGGCCAGATATGTTTTCTTCCATTCTGGTTGCTTATCTGGACATAGTTCTTGAAGTTTTCAGAGCAGAGTTCTGGGAACCCACATGGTTTCATTAAAAGGTCCCGCTGTCTGTCTACCAGCATCCCAAGGTAACTGTGAGAACAGTGCGCTGTCCTTTCCTGAGATGAGGAGGACCAGATATTTGGGATGAAAGCTGTATTTTTGATGGGTGTGGGGTATCCATTGGGCAGGGGGGGAATCTGCAAAATCTTTGACTCGTTTCTTGCCTTCCTCTGGTAACCGAAAGCTTGGCACTACTTGTCCTCATGGCCGCATCCTCAGAAGAATGAGAACAGGTGGTTTGAGGAGAAGGAAAGAGAAGTTTATTACTTGGCCAGCAAAGGAGGAAAAATGGTAGACTGTCATCTCGAAATCCAAATTTCCTGAACATAAGCAGAAATAGAGAGCTTCGAAAGGGAGGGCCCTCAGTTCTAGGCTACTGTGTTAATGATTCTAATGATTCTAATCATTCCATCTCAGCCTAAGACAAAGCCTGTGACCTTCCCCACCTGGGAGGCTGGTGCCAGGCCTGGGATGGCTGAGCTATCTCCTGTAACACAAAGAACAGAACACACTCCCCTGCCCCTCTCAGGGTTTTTTGTTTTGGTTTGGTTTGGGTTTTTTTTTTTTTTTTTGAGACTCTGTTGCCCAGGCTGGAGTGCAGTGGCATCATCATAGCTCACTGCAGCCTCCAACTCCTGAGCTCAAGTGATCCTCCTGCCTCAGCCTCCCAAATAGCTGAGGAGAATAGGTGGAGAAATAAACTCCCTTCTTGGTGATAGAAGCTGCAAAAAACTTGCGGCCATTTCTGATTTCTCACTGGGAAAGCAGATTATCTGTTTTGTTCACGTGTGTGTACCTGCAGCTGAGAACAGGGGTTGGCAAAGGGCCAGAGAGTAAATATTTTCAGCTCTGAAGGCCATATGGTCTCCGTTACAGCTACTCAGCTCTGCCTTTGTAGTGCGAAAGCAGGGTTGGGTGATACAGTAACCAATGGATGTGGCCGTGTTCCAATATAACATTATTTGCAAAAAACAGGTGGCCAGCTGGATTTGGCCCATGGGCTGGGGTTTGCCAACCCCCGCCTTCGAGCGTCACCTGCCACATAAGTGTAGAGCCAATAAAAGAACCCAAACATTTGGTCACTCTTTTGTTTCCGCCCCAGCTGTTCTGACTCTAACTGGCATGCAACACCATTCTGACACTAACCACCTGGAGCCGGCTTTAAACTCTGCAAGTTCAAGGCTCAGTCCCCCAAAAGACTTCCCGAACTTCAGACACCAGCTGCACTTTGGGGATTCCCTGGCCACCCACAATTCCGATTGACTGGCTATAAATTTGGGGGTTCCCGCAAAACCCTTTGGGTTTGATAATTAACTAGGACAACTCACAGAGCTGAAATAAACCTGCCATACTTACAGTTATAGTTTTATTATAAAAGATACACATAGGGTAAGGTCTGGGAGAGTGCTAGACACCAGTTTCCATATTCTGTCCTTGTGGAATCAGGATGCATCACCCTCTTGGCACGCGATGTGTTCACCAGCTGGGAAGCACACCACTGAGCTTCAGCGTGCAAAGTTTTTATTGGGGTCTCATTGTTTAGGTGTGATTGTTTGAATCATTGGCCATATGATTGCCCCAGCCCCTGTCCACTCCCTGGGGGTTAGGTGGCTGGAAGCCCCAATCCTGTCATCCTAAAGTGATTGAGGACCCATCAGAAGTCACTTCAACATTCCTATCACTCCTAACGTAGACATTCCTATCTCTCAGAAAATTTCAAGGGTTTTGGAAGCTTTATGCCAAGAACTGGGATACATTCTTTATTGTACCATAATTCCAAAAATCATTCTGAAGAATTGGATACACGGGGGTGTATGGAAATAACAACAGTAGCAACGACACCATTCGTAAAAATGATCATAGCAAGGAATAGCAATTGTTTCCTATGTGCTTTATGTGGTGTGTGTCAGTCTTTGTCTCAACCTGTGGGCTTGGTAGTGTCATTATCTCCATGTTACAAATGAGGAAACCGAGACTGTCATAGTTGGGAATCTTGTGGTTTCATGTGGCAGAACCCCAACTCAAACTGGCTTAAGTAAGATTAAAGGAGTTTAGTGGTGCCCAAAACCAAAAAGTTGAGGGGACTGCTTCAGGTATGGCTGTATCCAGGAGCTCTTGTAATGTATACAATCAGTCTCTTTCCATCCTTTGGCTTTGTTTTGCTTCTCTCTTGGTTTTATTTTCAGGCAGGTTCCCCCTCACACCTCACCCCATGACAGCAAGATGGCAACACTCACTTATATACTCTGGAAGGAAGATGATTTCTCCTTCTAGCAGATTCTAACAAAACCCTCACTGCCCTGACTTGGGTTGTGTAGCCACCTCTGAACCCTTGGCAAGGGGTAGAAGATGCTGCTCAGCGTGGCTTGGATCCTATGCCCCCCCGGACCTAGAAGGGCTTTGCCAGCCAAGAACTGACCTCAGAGACCCCATGTAGGGGAGTGCTGGTTCGCAAATTCACAGGAGGTTGTGGATTTGAGGACATCGGGCTGTAGGCGGGCAAAGCCAAAAGCTGCCCAAGTCGCCTGCCTGTCAGATGTGGGGTCGTGTTGCAGCAAACCCTGCTCAGAGCAACGAACATCCTGTCTCCGTGGAGCAGTGGGCTAAATCCCGCCACATTGGGTTAACAGCCTCAGTTCTGCCACTTTGGCATCCGCGGTCTGAGTCCCATGTCAGGCCCGTCATCTCAATGTCACGGCGTAATTCCCATCACCATGGTAACACCACGAGTCCCATCGCTTCGGTGTAATGCACAGGGTAGACCGTAGCCCTGTCTCCGTGGGGTCTGGTGTGAGTCCCATCACCTTGGGGTACAACAGGAGTCTTGTCCTGTTGCTTTGGGGTAAAGTGTGAGGACCGCCACCATGGAGTAACGGCGTAAGTCTCTTGCTTGGGGCGGTTGCTCTTCTGTGGTCGATTTTCTGCCTTCCCTCCCGAGGGACATCCGGCCATGTCCAGGGACATTTTTGGTTGTCACAACTTGGGAGAAGGGGTGCTCCTGGCATCGAATGAGTGGAGCCTGGAGAGGTGGCTCAACATCCCACGATGCACAGGTGACCCACCTCCTACCCCACCACGGGGAATTATCTGGCCCTGAATGTCAACAGTGCTGAGGTCAGGAAACCCTGCCTTAGGATAAACGGGACCCTGTGTAGTGTCGTCATGTGCTGTCTGCCGCGTGGAAGGGACCCTGTGTGCCCTGACCCCTCGCTCTCTCTCTCTCTCTTTGCTCTGTCCTCAGCTTGGTGTGCACACCATGCCTGGGCCCCTGTCCCAAGGTCTGCCACATTCTCGAAGGCGAGAAGACCATCGACTCGGTGACATCTGCCCAGGAGCTCCGAGGATGCACCGTCGTCAACGGGAGTCTTATCATCAACATCCGAGGGGGCAGTGAGTGCTCTGGGTTGGGGGGAGGGCGTCCTGCCAGGTGCCATGTCTCTGTGACCTGTGACCTCAGCCCAGGCTCTAGTCCATCACTCAGTGGCTCCCCCGTTAGTAGAGACTCTAATTTCCCAAGTGGGGAATTGGGGGCATTAGCAATCTGCACGGCTTTGCTTTGTTTTGTTTTTTGAGATAGGATCTCACTCTGTCACCCAGGCTGCTGGAGTGCAGTGGTGTGATCATAGCTCACTGCAGCCTCCAACTCCTGGGCTCAAGCGATCCTCCCACCTCAGCCTCCTTAGTAGCTGGGACTACAGGTGCACACCATCACGCCTGGCTAAGTTTTTGATTTTTTTGGTAGAAACAGGGAGGGTCTCGCTGTGTTGCCCAGGTTGACCTCAAACTCCTGGCCTCAAGCAATCCTCTCGCCTTGGCCTCCCAAACTGCTGGGATTACAGGCGTGAGCCACCGCACTCGGCCAGCATTTTTAACGATCAGGCAACATGCCCTATAGCAGGTCTGTAGACCATGTTTCTGGAAATACCAACTCAGGCAAAAACGCCATTCCTTTGTTTATTTATTCAGCAAACATTTATTGAATACTCAATAAATGTGAACAAGGCTAAGTCCTTGCCATGATGGATCTTGCAAAAAACCCCAAATCGATGCATGACGTAAGGTCAGGGGGTGGCCCATGCTGTGAGAAAAGCACAGCGGAGGAATGGGGGGAGGGGAAATCAGCAACTTTTTCCTGTAAAGAATGAATGAATAGATTCATTCATAGAATGAATAGATTCAGCTTTGCAGGCTGGACAATCTCTGTCGTAACTAATTGGCTCTACTGTTGTAGTATGAAAACGGCCATAGACACGTGTCAACCAAGGGGTGTGGCTCCATTGCAATAAAACTTTATTGACAAAACAAGTGGGATTTGGCCACTGGGCTACAGTTTACCAACCTCTGAAATGCAGAATAAAAGAGGTTGCTGTTTTAAAGATGTTTCTGTGTGTGGGGAAGGATGGTTTGAGATAGTGATGGAATAAGCCAAGGAAATATACAGAGGAATAATATTCTGGGCAAAAGAGGCAGCCAGTGCAAAGGTCCTGAGGCAGGCGTCTGCCCAGCGTGTTTAAAGAATGGTAAAGACCTCAGATTGTGTTCTCAGCATGAAGGGTTTTGAGCAGAGTATGTTGAAATCATTGACAGTCTATAGGTCATCTCCTCACCACGGAAAACTATGGGAAGATTAAAATATTCCTATAGAAACTCACTGCATGTTCTCTCCTTTCCTTAGACAACCTAGCAGCTGAACTGGAAGCCAACCTCGGCCTCATTGAGGAAATTTCAGGGTATCTAAAAATCCGTCGATCCTACGCGCTGGTGTCACTTTCCTTCTTCCGGAAGTTACGTCTGATTCGAGGAGAGACCTTGGAAATGGGGTATGTGGGCCCAATTCTGTGTTTGCGGCCCGAGCACTAACTAGGAAGTTTGTGAATTAGAAAAACTTGTTTTTTTTTTTGTTTTTTTTTTAAACAAAAAAACATCATTAGGAGAAATTTCCCAGCAAAACTTTGGGAGAGGAACTTGTGTTGGAATATGTGCCTATAGCTCTGTCCGGCCAAAAAATCATAAAAGCCCTGCTGTGGTCATTCTTGAGAAACTGAAGGGGGAACAGCCAAACTTTGTGCCCAACCTCTGAGGGTGCTGGCTGGAATTTGCTCAGTAGGGCGTCCTGCCATCTGGGCTGTGTCGTGAGGCAGGTATTACACGTATGAAATGGAGCTTCCCTCCTTGTCTTTGTTGTCTCTCCTCATTTCTTAGATCCCTTCCTCTCCAGGTCTCACTGACTCTGTTTCAGTCGGTAAAACAGCAGAAACACAGGCTAGCTGTGCTTGGCGCAGATAGAAATTATAATAACTTGTAGGCACAATGTCTGAGAAAGGCCATTCGGCGATGCTATCAAAGACCCAGGTTCTTGCCGACTTGTTGCTCTGCATGGTCACAAGATGGCTGCCTCGCCCCCACCCGCACAGCCATAGAACAGGCAGGAAATAGAGAAAGGGACAATAGGTGCTTTGTAGCTGCATGATACATGGCTAGTGGCTTCTGTATGGAACAACACAGGTCTAGATTCTTCCCTTTTCCCATTCATTATGTGCCGGTGGCTCACCAACTGTTCTGAAGCACAGGTCTAATCAAGTCACCGAGCTGATATAAAACCTTCAGTGACTTCCTTCTGCCTACCAAGGAGGGGCACACGTTCCTGGTCTGGGTCTGGCATGCAATATACTAGAGGGTTTGGTCCATTGCAGTTCTCTAGCTATTTTCTGTCACCTGTCGGCCAAAGCAGGTTACTTTGCTCTTCCGTTGGGCCCAGCTCAGGTGCCTCTGTGTCTTCTGTCATTACCCTCTGCGAAAACCCGCTTCCCAAGCCATGACAGTCTTACCGCTCCCCTTCCTTACTAAGCTCACTTTCCCAGCCATGAAAACCTCCCCAACTTCCCATCACCCCCACTCAACAAATATCTATTCAGTATGTACCAAGCAAGTGGTTGGGACTGGGCATGGAGCCCGGGACAAGACTGCCTCCAGGCATGGCCCTGCCATCTTGGAGTTGGAGAAGACCAGCGGTTGAATGCTCAGGGCTGTGTGTGTCTGTTTCCGCAGGAGCTACTCCTTCTACGCTTTGGACAACCAGAACTTAAGGCAGCTCTGGGACTGGAGCAAACACAACCTCACCATCACTCAGGGCAAACTCTTCTTCCACTATAATCCCAAACTCTGTTTGTCAGAAATTCACAAGATGGAAGAAGTCTCAGGAACCAAGGGGCGCCAGGAGAGGAATGACATCGCCCTGAAGACCAACGGGGACCAGGCGTCCTGTAAGTGGTGCTGCCCCGGGGCTCCTGGTTTACATGCTGGAAAACGTAACCACCCTCCTTCATCCGCCCCACTGGCCCCCAGGGGCACGGTACTGCCCCCTAGTGAGATGCAACGACTCATTGCCTGATAGGCTTTCGTATGGAGGACAGGTTTTGAAACATCTTATGGCTGTGTTTGTGCACCAAGTACAGTGCCTGATACCACAGGATGCCACATGAACATGACATGAATGAATGAGTGAATGAATGACGCCTCCTTGTAGATAGTTCAGGCTCAGTGCTGATGCCAAGGAGTTCAAAGTTGAGTAAAATGTCTGCGTCAGTCCACATCTTGTGGCGAACAAATGCAGAGTCAGAGTTAGAAGTGCAAAAAAAATGTATCAAGGACCGGGTGCCTTGGCTCACGCCTGTAATCCCAGCACTTTGGGAGGCTGAGACCGGAGGATCGCTTGAAGTCAGGAGTTCAAGACCAGCCTGAGCAAGAGCGAGACCCCGTCTCTACTAAAAATAGAAAAATTAGCCAGGTGTAGCGGTGGCGCCTGTAGTCCCAGCTACTTGGGAGGCTGAGGCAGGAGGATCGCTTGAGCCCAGGAGTCTGAGGTTGCAGTGAGCTGTGATGATGCCACTGCACTCTAGCCTGGGTGACAGAGCGGGGGACTCTATCTAAAAAAAAAATTTTGGAAAAGAGAGGGAGAACCTTCTGATAGGTGTGGGTCTGACCTCTGCGAACAGAGAGGGGGAAGGAAAGAGGCTAGGACAGCATTGCATCCATGAGCGTCTTGGCCAAGCCCAGAGGGAGCTCCAGGCAACAGTTGTTCTGAACTGGATAAGTACAGCCGGGCCTCCCACCGAGCTCAGTCATGGTTGGGGGCCGTCCAAGGAAAGCCAGGCTCTGGCGTGAAAGCTATAGCAGGTCCCGCAGTTTCTACATCGGGAGATTGTCTGCTGACTGCACTCCCCTAACACATTCTGAGCAGTGAGCTTCCAGGGGCTTCGGTGACACCCTTCCAGGGGGGGAGTTCCTTATGGCAAAACGTAGTGCAAGGAGAGAGCGAGGTTGGGTGTTTAGGAGAGGGTTTGCATCCTAGGTAGAAGCAACGACCCAGATGTGTCTCTCTAAACCGTAACGATGCGCGGGCTGTCTAAACTCATTCGGCCTGTGTTTATTTACACTGGGGTTGCATCTTCCGCCGTATGAGCCTTGCACGTAAGTCCACCTGCAAGACGCAGTTGTATCAGGAAGAACGTGACTCTAGCGAATCCCTTCTCCTGGTAACTACTGGCCAGTTGCCTCTCTGTGACTGTGAGTCCCAGCTCCTATCCCTGCATGCATGACAGCCACTAAGTCCAGAGACGAGGTGTCGGGGCAAAGAATGCAACTTTATTCGGAGAGTGGCGCGTGGTACCAGCTTGGTCTTGGTTTCATCGCGTGGGCACAGACTGCTGTGATTCAGTTGAGTCCCCGGCGGGGTAACTGGCTTGTGTGGGGGCCGAGGTACACGACTGGTTCTTGCTTTTGAATCTCCCCCCGTGCACACTCGGAAAGACCAGACCCGTTAAAGCAACAGCAGACCGATCTCTCCCTTCCCACAGCCCCTGAAGGAAGTATGGGATCATGTGCTTTGGCCCGAAACTGACTATTCCATACTGATGTTGCCTGGGGTTTTTTTTATTTTTTTGACTGTTCTAGGTGAAAATGAATTACTTAAATTTTCTTACATTCGGACATCTTTTGACAAGATCTTGCTGAAATGGGAGCCGTACTGGCCCCCCGACTTCCGAGACCTCTTGGGCTTCATGCTGTTCTACAAAGAGGCGTAAGTAGAAGAGAGAAGCGTTGGGGAAACGGTGTAGAGATGACAGCCAGATGGCTTGGCGCTAGCACGAGTGCTCACACCGTCCCCTTTGGGGTTCCTTTCTGTCTCCTTCCTACTCCTACTTCCATACCCACCGTGGGTTCCTTTTTACGATCTCACCAGTTGATGGTGTGCCCACGCAGTGACGTCCGCTTTTGTCAAAAGCCTGAAACGAGGCCGGGCGCGGTGGCTCACACCTGTAATCCCAGCACTTTTGGGGGCCGAGGCAGGAGGATCACTTGAGGCCAGGAGTTCGAGACCAGCCTGAGCAAGAGCGAGACCCCCATCTCTACAAAAAGTAGAAAAATTAGTGGGGTGTGGTGGCTCATGCCTGTAGTCCCAGCTACTCGGGAGGCTGAGGCAGGAGGATCACTTGAGCCCAGGAGTTCGAGGCTGCAGTGAGCTATGATGACGCCACTGCACTCCAGACTGGGCGACAGAGTGAGACCCTGTCTCAAAAAAAAAAAAAAAAATGCAACCCTGTAGGATGTAACTTCCCCAGGGCCCAGCTGCACAGTGCTCCGGGTGATAGGCACATAGGGGTAACCACTTTCCCCTGTTTTGTCTTGAAAGCCCTTATCAGAATGTGACAGAGTTCGACGGGCAGGATGCGTGTGGCTCCAACAGCTGGACGGTGGTGGACGTTGATCCGCCCCTGAGGTCCAATGACCCTAAGTTGCAGAACCACCCTGGGTGGCTGATGCGTGGTCTCAAGCCCTGGACTCAGTATGCCATCTTTGTCAAGACCTTGGTCACCTTCTCGGATGAACGCCGGACCTACGGGGCCAAGAGTGACATCATTTATGTCCAGACAAATGCCACCAGTGAGTGTGTCTTGTGACTTTGAATTTGCCAGGAGATGAATTTGCAGGAAATGCTTTGTTGCATGGTTATGAGCTTTTAAAGGAGCTGGGTATTGGGCCAGGCGCAGTGGTGCATGCCTGTAATCCCAGGACTCTGGGAGGCCGGGGCGGGAGGATTGCTTGAGGTCAGGAGTTCAAGACCAGCCTGAGCAACAGTGAGACCTCATCTCTACCAAAAATAGAAAAATTAGCCAGGCGTGGTAGCGCACCCCTATAGTCCCAGCTACTCGGGAGGTTGAGGCAGGAGGATTCTCTTGAGCCCGGGAGTTGGAGGCTGCAGTGAGCTATGATGACACCATTGCACTCTACCCCAGGGTGACATAGTGAGACTCTATCTCAAAAAAAACAAACAACAAAAAACCCCAAAAACCAAAAAACACACAAAAAATTAGCTGAATATTGAGGCTTATATTTTCAGAAGATGAGGAAGTTCCCAACAAGGCACTTGACGGGAATGTATATATTTTTCATCCTATTATGAAAGAATTTTCAGATATTTCACAACATAGAAAGAACTACCCCATGTAACCACCTCCAGTGTCAACCTTTGGCCATTTTAGTTTCATCTCCACTCTTCTTCCTACTTAATGTTACTTTTTTTTTTTGGCTGGAGTGTTTCATAGCAATTTAGTTATATTTTTATAAAACCTAAGTCCTCCTCCTAGAGCAGTAGTTCTCAAACGGGGGGTGGAGTTGGCAATGACCAGAGACATTTTTGGTCACAGCTGGGGAGACGGGATTCCTGGCATCTACCGGGTGGGAGCCAGGGGTGCTGATCCGGGTCCTACAAAGCACAGGACACCCCCCTTCCCATGACAAAGAATTATCCAACCCCAAATGTCAAGAGTGCTGAGGATGAGAAACTCTGTCTTGTAGGACCGAGTCTAAACTTTATGAATCGGCCCTACCTCCTTCACCTGGTACCCTCTTAGCAGCACCAAAAGACGTATAGCTTCCAGAAACTTCCAGCTTCCAAGTCTTTGTACCTCCTCGCCCTCCCCAGCTCCCTCAGCCGCCTCCTTTCTTGAGGGGCGGGTTTTGTGGCACCCAAAGACGGTGCATTCTGGGGAGTGTCAGATGCCAGCTTGATGACACGATCCAATGGCTTCACGTTTGTCCCGCGACCGAGTTCACAGCGGGGCAAATGGTAATCAGGAAACGTGCGTTTGAGGGTCTCTTCCCACTCTCTTCTCTCTCCCCAGTAGCATCTTCCGGTGCCCAGAGCGGAGAGAGCTGGGCGCCGCGTCGGGGCTCAGGGAGTGTGTGTGGCCTAAACGGATGAATGAGCAGTCACCTGATGTGTGGTACGAGTGGACCGAAATTTGGAAACCCATGCCCGGACTGGGTGACCGTCCCCTGCGTCTTCTCCCGGTTTTCTCCGGTGTTAAATAACGCCGCAGTGAACATCCTCGTGATTCCTTCCGACGTGTGTGTGTGTGTGTGTGTGTGTGTGTGTGTGTGTGTGTGTGTGTCCTCCCTGCTCACGTCCGCCCAACTCTTCCTCACCACAGCCCTGTCTCCTTCTTCCTTTGCAGACCCATCCGTCCCCCTGGACCCGATCTCGGTTTCTAATTCCTCGTCCCAGATTCTTCTGAAGTGGAAGCCCCCCTCCGACCCCAACGGCAACATCACGCACTACCTGGTTTTCTGGGAGAGGCAGGCAGAAGACAGTGAGCTGTTCGAGTTGGATTATTGCCTCAAAGGTGAGCGCCAGGGGCTGCGCTGGCATCGGTGGGGTTTGCACGCACGTGGGAGCCACATCGCTCCGTTTCTGGGCAGGCGGCTCTCACTTCTCGTCTCTCGGTGTGTGTACACACGTGCGCACACGCTCCATTCCGACTGGTGCAAAAACACACACACACGTTTTTAAAAGCTGCTACACAAGCGCGCTCCAAAGGCGCACGTCCAAACCAGATATTTCTCAACTTCTTATATCTTGGCACCGTTTCCCTCTGGAATTTTCTCCCCTTCCATCTCCTTCCTCCTCCCCTCCCTTTCTTCATCCTCCTCCTCCTCCTCCTCCCCTGCTCACTCCAAGGGGATGCAGCTGCGTTAACCCACGAAAGACTCTTTCTTTGTGCAAAGCTAGAGACATAACTGGTCGTGTTGAGAGGTTACAGACGGAGTTGGGGAAGGACTGTGGCCCTGCTGAGACCCTTTAGTTCTGAGAGTTGGAGGCAGCAAGGAGCGATCATCCCCTCCACCCCTTCTGAACTTTCGATTAAAATTTTATACTAATGACAATTTTTTTTAAAGTCTCAATCTTGTTTACGTAATGGGCTTCCATCCACCTGAAGGAAAATGGAAAAGTAGCTGAAGTCCCAAACTCGTGCATATACGTTAAAGTTATTTTAAAACACAGTTTTGAAAAACAAAGCAGAACAAAAAAAGGCAGGGGGTGGGGGTGGGGGTGGCGCTGGGTGCATTTGGCTCACCCCTGTAATCCCAACACTTTGGGAGGCTGGGATAGGAGGATCACTTGAGGCCAGGAGTTTGAGACCAGCCTGGGCAACAGAGCAAGATCCTGTCTCTACAAAAAGTAAAAAAATTAGCTGAGGGTAGTGGGGTGCACCTGAGGTCCCAGCTACTCTGAAGGCTGAGGTAAGAGGATTGTTTGAGCTCAGGAGCTGGAGGCTGATGTGAGCTACGATGACACCACTGCACGATGACACCACTGCACTCCGGCCTGGGCGACAGAGTGAGACCCTATCTCAAACAAAAAAACAAAACAATCTCCCCTCCTCCACCCACCAAACCAGAGAAGCCGCAGTCACTATTTTTCCCTTGAGTTTTGGTTTGTTTGTTTGTCTTGATTTCATTTTCTTGAGATATTTTCAGTTAGTGATAATATCCTTAGCTCATGACCTTGGAGGAGAAGGCCAGGGGGTGTCACTGGGCGTGGCGTGGCGTGGCGGAGGCCCAGAGCCCGAGGTCCGCTCTTGGCTCTGCCCCTGACCTGCTAGTAGGGTTTTGGCCAAGTCCCCAAGCCAGTCACCATCTACCTCCTTTTTGGGAGAAGGGGCGGGAGGACAGACGATCTCCGGGAGCCGTCCCAGCTCTAAGATCATGAGCTATATGTGTGCCTGTGACATCATCCCCGCCTGAGCCGCGGGCCGCAAACGTGATTTATCTCCTCGGATGCTTTATATAACTCCGGGGCGAGTCCAGGCGTCGGCTGTGCTGCAAGCTGTCGGCCCTGCCTTCGAGTAACCAAAACCACCAGCTCGGGCAGCCACGGGCAACGTCAGTCAAAGCTTTCCTTTCCTCTTTATGCTGCAAGTCTAAATCCCTGATGACCACCAGACTGTTGAAACATGGTTTTAGTTGCAATGATCACAAAGTTTATCCAATTAAAAGTAAACTCACTAAGGACAAACCCTGTGTGATTCCACTCACAGGAGGTCCTTAGAGGTGTCAGATTCGCAGAGACAGGAAGCAGGACAGTGGGTGCCAGGGGCTGAGGAGGGGGCGGGGAGTGAGTGTCTCACGGGGACAGAGTTTCAGTTTGGGAAGACGAGAAAGTTCTGGATGTGAATGCTCTCCATGCCACAGGACAGCACGTGTTAAAATTATAAATTTTATGGGACATGTATTTTACCACAATAAAAAAAAAATCACGCACTAGGGATAGTAATAGGATGTGACTACTGGTCGTGGTTAGTAACCTTATTTATTTTGTGTGTGTGTTTTAAATTGTGGTAAAATACACGTCCCATAAAATTTATTATTTTAACACGTGCTGTCCCGTGGCATGGAGAGCATTCACATCCAGAACTTTCTCGTCTTCCCAAACTGAAACTCTGTCCCCGTGAGACACTCACTCCCCGCCCCCTCCCCAGCCCCTGGCACCCACCGTCCTGCTTCCTGTCTCTGCGAATCCGATGACTCTGGGGACCTCATTATACTCTGCTTTCCTAGTCTCAGAAAAACCACGAGCCCCCGTGTTGCATGCGCTGGATGCTGAGAAGAGGACGCAGTATGACACCTCTGCCTTATCCAACATCTTTCTCTCTAGAAAAATGTCCAGAGGCCTCCTGCCTAAGGCGATCCTACATTTTTCTTCCATCGGTGATGTTGTAACTAGCTCCTCTCAAAGTTAACCCAGCCAGATTACCCTATTAATAAATGTAAGAAGCATTTTCTGAAGTCCCTTGCAGGCTTTTAAAGCTGTATAAATACTTGGGCTTCCGAGTGGATACTTACTATTCACTCAAAGGTACTTGATACATTCGCTTAGAGCTGATTGTCTACACCCGAGGCATTGGAGGGCGGAAAAATGGCATTTCCTTTGCCTGGTAGACGCTAGCAGACGCCAGGCACCCGGCGGGCTGGCGGCAGTGGGAGGTGAATTGGAGGGGGCTGTCGTGGGTTTTGCCCACACAGAGTCATGTCCCTCCTCGCGGCTGTGCGAGGGGCGTGGCTGGGCTCACCCCACACGTGGGTCACGGGGGCCCCCGGGATTTGACCTCAGGAGTCAAGACACGGCCAGCCTCGGTACTTAAAAAAGAGTTTTGTGTTTCTAGGTCTGCTACCTTGGAAAGGTGGTGGTATTCTTTTACTTTTTCCTCTTTTTTTTCAATTTTTCTACTCCCTTTTCTATGCATATTCGATCAATTTCTTCTTCGACCTCCTCCCATGTCTTTAGTTCAGAATTTTTCTACCCTGCACTGTTGTTATCTGGGGCTGGGTTGTTCTCTGGGGCACGGGCCGTCCTGTGCACTGTCGGGTGTTGAGTGGAGTCTCTGGTCTGCTTGGAGCACCTCTGGCCAGTCCTGACAACCACAGATGTGTCCGGATGTTGCCCAGCGTCCCTGGCAGGCGGCAAAAGGGGAACAAAATTGCTCCTGGGTGAAAACCACTCACTAATTAAGTCTAATTTCTGGATTCGCGCATGGACCCCGGAGAATTCCGGGTGGGACTTGGACCCAGGCTCTGTCTCAGCCCAGCCCCTCTGAGAAGGCTCCCTTTTGCTCCCCCCACATGTGTGTATGTGTGCGTGTTGCCAAAAAGAACTTGCACCCCTTTTCTCTGCTTTCCTCTAGGGCTGAAGCTGCCCTCGCGGACGTGGTCTCCCCCGTTCGAGTCCGACGACTCCCAGAAACACAACCAGAGTGGGTACGAGGACTCGGCCGGCGAGTGCTGCGCCTGCCCGAAGACGGACTCGCAGATCCTGAAGGAGCTGGAGGAGTCCTCGTTCAGGAAGACGTTCGAGGACTACCTGCACAACGTGGTTTTCGTGCCCAGGTCAGGACTTACGTGGCCTTGGGCTCTCCAAGTGGGAGTCCACTGTTGGCTTGGTGTTGGGGGGCCATTACTGAAGGACCCAGGTGAAGGATGGGGGGTGACCCAGAGCCCATGGGAGGGTGGGCAGAGTCCAAGCGTCCGATCGGAGCCCTCGCCAGGGTGGAGGAAGAGATCTTGCGATTTTCACGGGAACCTTAGCAGGAACTGCGAATAATCACAGAGAAAGGGAAAATTTAGAAAACTCAGCATTTGTCTTTCTTATCTGTCCCGAACCGGGTCTCCGAGTTCTAAAACAAACGTTTACGGGTTATTGAGGCAGATCCTGAGAAATGCCTTTCTGGCATCCCGTGCTTGATTGATCGCTGAGTCTTAAACTCACCATATTCTCTTATTTTTTTTTATTTGTGTAACCTTCTCATTCTTCTGGAACTTTCCGCAGCATCATCTAAAACCCAGAGACATCTCCTATTTAAATATATTGAATTTCCTTTAGTGAGTGAAGGGTCTTGATCAATACATCTGATTTACTGAGAAGATTTGCAGTAAAAATTACTCTAGATTTTATTTTTTAGTTTGTATTATTTTTTAGAGACAGGGTCTTGCTCTGTCACCCAGGCTGGAGTGCAGTGGCACGATCGTAGCTCACTGCAGCCTCAAACTCCTGGGCTCAAGCGATCCTCCTGCCTCAGCCTCCTGAGTAGCTCAGACTACAGGTGCAACCACCACATCTGGCTAATGAAAAAAAAAAAATTTTTTTTAGAGATGGGGTCTTGCCATGTTGCCCAGTCTGGTCTCGAACTCCTGGCCTCAGGCGATCCTCCTGCCTCAGCTTCCCGAAGTGCTGGGATGACAGGCGTGAACCACCATGCCTGACCACTCTAGACTTTTTAATCTATCTTTACCTTTCCTGCAAGCAAAGACACTTAGGTAAAAGGCACAGTCCCATGACCATGCGTCACTATTTTTTTTTTTTAAGCCTAATTTGTGCTAAAAACAGGAAGAGACATTTACGAATACAGGTTAGATGGGTTCTTCCCGTGCACATTTCTCTGCTTTAGTGCCCAAGAGGCAGAAGAGTAGAGCGGATCGCGGTGGGGACTCTCGAGACTGACCGCCTGGGGTCCCTTCCATTCTGTGTACCAGTGCGGGGAGGTCACTTCACCGCTCCCTGTGCCTCAGTTTCCCCATCTGTGAAATGGCCATAATAATAATCATTCCTATATTTTAGGGCTATGAGATTAAACAAGTCACATAGGGATCTTCAATCTCGACACTGTCACCATTTGGAACCAGACCATTTTCTGTGTGGGGGGGGGCCGTCTGGGCAGTGCAGGGTGCTGAGCAGCGACTCTGGACTTCCCCCATTTGATACCAATAGTTCCTCTTCCACACCCGACCCCAGCCTTAACAACCAAAAATACTTCAGGAATTGCCGAATGGCCCAGGGACGTCGGCTTTGAGTGTGTATCGGTGTGCCCGTAGCTGGGCCCCTCCCCCCCACCTTTGTCTGCCTTCCCCTAGAACTTGGGTGGGTGGCCACCCAGAAATGTCTGATGCAATCGTGCGTTTCCAAAGTGGATGGAAACCGCAGCTAGAGCAAGGTTCTAAAATGTGTCTGTTCAAATGTCCCCCAACGCTACCCATCTGAGTAGACTTTATCCCAGAACCATCAATAGGTAATGTTTCTTTTGCTTTTTTCTTTCTTTCTTGCATTTTTCCCCCTGTGACCCTGAGTCCAAAAGAGCGTTCAGTGGTACGGCCCAGGCATCGAAGCGGTTACTGTTTTACCCGTTTTAAAAACAAAATGCTACCGGACTTGGGGGAATGGCTGAGTTAGTTGTGATGTCTCAACGTAGTGAAATTAAAGCCAAGTGCAGTGGCTCATACTTGTAACCCCAGCACTTTGGAATGTTGAGGCAGGAGGATCATTTGAGGCCAGGAGTTTGAGACCAGCCTGGGCAACATAGCAACACCCCATCTCTGCAAAAAATAGAAAAATTAGCCAAGTGTGGTGGCACATGTTTGTAATCCCAGCTACTTGGGGGGACTCAGCAAGACCCTGTCTCAAAAAAAAAATAGCAGTCAAATTTAACATCCCAGGGGAACCCCAACAGGTCAAGTCACTGGGGAACAACTTTCTTCAATTTTCCCCCCCTTCTTTTGCTGGAATTCCCTGCCCCTGCAGGGGAAAGTATAGTTGGCCGTCAAAGGCAGGGCGCTCTTGCTTGGACAGGACGTGGCCTCCAGGATGCCAGAGTCAAACAGTCTGTCCAACGAAGTTCTGTCTGTCCTCAAAGCGGTTGGTTTTCTTTTCACAGAAAAACCTCTCCAGGCACTGGTGCTGAGGATGCTAGGTACGACTTCACCTGTGTGGCCCCTGGTGGCTGCTCAGTGTAGGGCCGGCGTGCCTGGCGGGGCAGAGGGCACGCTATGCGCCTTGGACATCCCAGGGGTTTCTGTGGCTTGTTGCATGCGACAGGCTTCTGCCCTGGAGAGCGGATGCTTCATAAATTCGCAAATTAAATGTCTTTCACTCTGAAATGGGATCTGGGCGTGAATCGGGGGGGAAAAAATCTTAACTAACACACTCTTCCTAAAACATAGACTCATAGGAGTACTTCCCGGGGCACCTCCTTCCTGTCTTCTGTTTGTCCGGGTCACTGTTCACGGTCCCCTCCCCGAACATCCACCCACACGTCCTGCCTGCACATGAGGAACCACGCCAGGCGGGTGCACCCAGGAATCTGGGCTCCACGACACAGGGGTGTCCCACCCCAGCATCTCCTCCTATCTGTGGGGGAAGATTGATCTGGAAGCAGAACTTTTTTTTATTCGGGGAGACGTGGCCTGAGCAAAGAGGAATACCGTGTCACTCACTGAATCCCACTGAGGAGGGTCAGGGACAGTTGCCTTCAGCTTGCATCTTACAGAACAGAGGGGGCGGGGCCCTAGACCACAGAGCAAGCGGGAAGAACTCGGGGAAAGGCCGGGAGATGGGAGGAATCGTGGTGGGCCCTTGGGAAGAGCAGGAGGTGAGATTAGAAAGGAGAGGTTGGGGCCACGTGGAGGGATTTTCTTCTTTTTAACAGAGCGTTTATTTATTTATTTATTTTTCCCAGGCACCTGTGTGGCCGGAGCTGCCCTCTAGTGGCTGTTGGGAATATAATCTATAGTAAAAGAAAGGGTTGGAAATTTGTGGTCTTTGGTCCAAAGCGGGATTTCTCAATCTGTCTTTTGGATAATTTGGGGATGGATTCTTCTCAGGGGTGGGGACTGTCCTGTGCCCTGTAGGGCACCTGGCCTCCACTCATTATCATACCTATCCCCCAAAGTACTGATAGCCAAAAATATCTCTAGACAGTGCCAAATGTCCCCCTGAGGGTGGGGACAGATGTAGCCCTGGTGGAGACCGCCAGTCTAGTGTGGGATTGTTGGATAATAAAATGCTGCCTATGGGCTGGGCACAGTGGCTCATGCCTGTAATCCCAGTACTCTGGGAGGCCAAGGCAGGAGGATCACTTGAGTTCAGGAGTTTGAGACCAGCCTCAGCAAAAGCAAGACCCCCGTCTCTACTAAAAATAGAAAGAAATTAGTTGGGCAACTAAAAATAGAAAAAATTAGCCAGGTGTGGTGGCGTATGCCTGTAGTCCCAGCTACTGGGGAGGCTGAGGCAGGAGGATCGCTTGAGCCCAGGAGTTTGAGGTTGCAGTGAGCTGCCACTTCACTCCAGCCTGGG